TTCTGTGAATGTCTGTTAGGTCTGGTTAGTTTTGTGTTGTTCAAGTCTTCTATTTCCTTATTGAACTTGTGTCTAGATGTTCTGTTCATTATTGAAGTGGTGTATTGGAATCTCCAACTATTATTGTAGAACTGTCTATTTTTCCCTTCAGTTCCGTCAGTGTTTGCTTCATATATTTTGAGCTTCTGTTTGGTATGTATATGTTTATAGTTGGTATATCTTCTTAATGAGTTGACCCTTTTATCAGTATATAATGAGTTCTTTGTCCCTTGTAACAATTTTTTATTTAAAGTCTATTTTGTCTGATGTTAGCATAGCCCCCTCAACTCTCTTTTGGTTACTATTCGCTTGGAATATCTTTTTCCATCCTTTCACTTTCAACTTATGTGTGTCTGGATCTAAAATGAGTTTCTTGTAGACAACATATAGTTGGATCATGTCTTTTTTAAAAATCTATTCTGCCAGATTCTTTTAGTGGGGAGTTTAATCAATTTACATTTAAAGTGATTACTGGTAAGAAAGGGCTTCTGGCTTTTTGTTATTTGCTTTCTTATGTCTTGTCTTATTTCTTTTTTGTTCCTCAGCTCCTCCAATATTGTCTTCTTTTGTTTGGTTAAATTTTTTCCAATGTACCATTTTGATTCTGTCCTCATTTCCTTTTCTCTCTATATTTTTATTTATTTCCTTAGTGGTTACTATATGGATTATAATTAACATTCTAAATTTATAACAATCTAGTTTGAATTGATACCAACTTAGCTTTGATGGTATACAAAAATTCTGCTCTTATATAGCTTCATCCCCCTCCTTATGTTGTTTTTGTCACAAATTACATCTTTATACATTGTGTGCTAATTAACATATATTTATTGTTTTATGCATTTGTCTTTTAAATCATATAGGAAACAAAAAGAGGAGTTACAAACCAAATATACATAATACTGGCTTTTATATTTACCTGTGTGGTTACCTTTACCAGATTTCTTTATTTCTTTGTATAGCTTTGAGTTCTTGTCTAGTGTCCTTTCATTTCAGCCTAAAGGACTCTCCTTACCATTTCTTGTAGGGGAGGTCTACTAGCAATGAACTTCCTCAGCCTTTGTTTCTCTGGGAAGGTCTTAATTTCCCCCTTTGTTTTGAAGAATAATTTTGTTGGATATAGAATTCTTGATTGAGTTTTCTCTTTTAGCACTTTAAATTGCCACCCCATTGCCTTCTGGCCTCCATGGCTTTTGATGAGAAATCAGCTGCTATTCTTATTGAAGAATATTATGGAATAATAATCCTTTGTACATGATGAGTTGCTTCTCTTGTGCTGCTTTCAAGATTCTCTCTCTGTCTTTGTCTTTTGACAGTATGATTATAATGTGTCTTGATGTGGATCTCTTTGAGTTTGGCCTGCTTGCAGTTTGTTGTACTTCTTGTATGTGTAGATCTATGTCTTTCATTGAATTTGGGGAGTTTTTAGCCATTATTTATTTCTTCAAATATTCTTTCTGCCTCTTTCTCTTTCCTGCTTCTGGAACTTCCATAATGCATATGTTGGTCTGCTTGGTGGTGTTGTATGGGTCCCTTAGGCTCTGTTCATTTTTCTTCATTCTTTTTTCTTTCTGATACTCAAACAGAATAATTTCAATAGTTCTATCTTCAAGTTTACTCATTGTTTCTTCTGCTAGCCTGAATCTCCTGTTGAACCCCTATAGTAAGTTTTTCATTCAGCTACTGTAACCTTCAGCTCTAGAATTTTTTATTTGGTTCTTTTTATAATTTATATCTCTTTATTGATATTCTTTATTTGTTCATTTTCCTGGTTTCCACTAGTTTTTTGTGCGTTGTTTTGTTTAGCTCCTTGAGCATATTTTAAGACAGTTGATGTAATATTTGTCTAGTAAGTCCAGTATCTGGGCTTCCTTGGTGATGGCTTCTATAAACTTATTTTTTCTATGAATGAACCATACTTTATTTATTCTTTTTACACCTTGTGATTTTTTTTTGTTGTTTGAAACTGGACATTTTGAATATTATAATGTATCAATCTGGGAATCAGATCATCCTCCCAGGGTTTGTTGTTGTTGATTATTGAAGGCTATAGTCATCCATTTGTTTATTGCTCTTCCAAACTATTTTTGCTAAGACTGTATTTCTTGTGTGTGGTCACTGAAATCTCTGTTCCATAATCTCAGCAGTCAGTCAGTTATGTGACAGAGATTTCCTTAAATGCGTAGAGTGGAAAACAGACAAACAAACAAATACCTCTCCTGGTCTTGGCAGATTGGCCCTGAGCTTGGGCACTACTTCAGTACTAAGCCGATTTGTCTAAAACTCTGCCTTAGCCTTCACCTCCTGGTGGCATGGAGGCCAAAGACCAGCCAAAAATGCTAGCATAGGGTCCTCTCAGGTCTTTTCTGAACATGCATCTTTTCCTGGGCATGAACATGGAAGACTGGATCTCCCTATCATATGTTAGCCCTTCAGAGTCCTTATTTCCCCATGTATCTTCCTCCTCAGTCTCTTCCTTTCCAGGCTTTTTGATCTGTCTACTGCTTATTCCATTCGCTGTCCCCACTGCCTTCCAAGCAGCCTCTGGCAGTCCATATCTTTAAATGCTTTCAATAGATGCTACGTGGAAAACTGCTCCAGCCTGAGTGGGGCAAAACAAAAGTCAGCCTCAGCATGGGTCCCTCAGGGAACTACCAGATAGGGAAAAATTCACAGCCACAATCTTTTGAGAACAGTGTGCATATTGCCTTCCCCTGGCACTATCAAGCCACACCAGGAATATGGGCGACTGTCCCCATGGCCACCACCAAGCTGGGGAATGGGGGGGAAAAACCACAACTCTTTGTTACTGAAATTTAGCAGCTTCTGTTTTCATCAGACACACCACTGGTTGGACTCCACTGTAAGTTTTTTATTAGATTCCAGAGTTCTGAAAAAGTTGAGTCTATCAGTTTTCACCAGCTTAATGATAGCTTCAGTGGAGGGTCTCATTTTTGGAGCTCTCTGCTCTGACATTTCTGTGACATCACTCTGTGTTTAACTTTTTGAGAAACTATCAAACTGCTTTCCACAGAAGCTGCACCACTTTACATTCCTACAGAAATGTGAGGGTTTCATTTTCTCCACATATTTTCCAACACTTACCCTCTGTTTTTCATTTTTTTATTATAGCTATCCTAGTAAGTGTGAAGTGATATCTCCTTATGATTTTGATTTGCATTTCTTTTTAATGACTAATGATGTTGAGCATCTTTTCATGTGCTTATTGGCTGTTTGCATATCTTCTGTGGAAAACTATCCAAATCCTTTGCCCATTTTTTATTTGGATTACTTGTCTAAGATCCATTTCTTATATATTATTTTCTAACCTTTTTTCTTACAAGGTTATCCTGAAAATCATGCATTAAGAAAATATGTATAGGGGCCGGCCCCCTGGCCAAGTGGTTAAGTTCACGTGTTCCACTTTGTCGGCCCAGGGTTTCACCAGTTCAGATCCTGGGCACGGACATGGCACCACTCATCAAGTCATGCTGAGGCGGCGTCCTACATAGCACAATCAGAGGCACTCACAACTAGAATATATAACTATGTACTGGGGGGCTCTGGGGAGAAGAAGAAGAAGGAAAAAAAAAGAAGATTGGCAACAGATGTTAGCTCAGGTGCCAAACTTTAAAAAAAAAGATAATATGTATATAAAGCTATCTGCAGTGTCAGAACTTTACACAACATGATGTAATTCTTAAATACAAGAAGATGCTCTTCTACCTGTATAAAGGTGCATTTTGTATTAATCAGGACTCTCTTGGTTGTAAGTAACACAGAAACCTAACTCAAACAAGCTTAAGAAAAAATGAATGGGGGCGGGTAACTTATAGCTTGATAACTGGGAAACTGGGGCAGAGTTAGATCCAGGAAGTAAAGATGTCATTAGGACTCTGTCTTACCCATTCCCTCAGCTCTACTTGGCCTTATTTTCTCTCCACTCAGGGGCAACATAGCCCCTGCAGCCTCAAGCTGCCGTGGTCCTTATAGGCTTCTATCTAGAAAATGAGAGTGTATCTTTCCTTATAACACCAAAAAGTCTCAGGGAGGATGTTGATTAGTGTGACTTGGGCCACATTTATATCCCTGAACAATTACTGTGGCCAGGTAGATGAGGTACTCAGACCAGGCCCTGGTCATACGACCATAATGAACAATCAGGACTAAGTTGAATTAATATGGAATGGGGGGAGATGAGGTTCTCCAAAGGAAATGCTTCTAAGTAGAAAATAAAATGTCCTCTATAGAGCTGCAAAGGTTCAGTGCCTGTTTTATTTTTAGGCTTTCTTTGTGGTTTTTTATCAAGAAATGGATGCTCAAGTTCTTGTCCCTACTAAGATACTGCTTTTTTTCCTGCCCCTTTTTTGGTGGTAGGGGGCTAGTAAGAGATTAGAAATAAAGATTTTATAGCTCTGTCTGTTCCAAAAGCTTGGAGGAAGAAGAGAGAAAGGCCAGTCATTTTGGATTTGGAAAGAGGCTGGAACTTGACTCCTGATTCTGTGACCTTGAGCTTCATAGTGGAACTGAAAGACTCTTCTATAGGAAGGTAAGTATTTGCATTTATCTGAATTCATAAGATTAAGCTGTTTTAGTCTCATTAACATAGTCTTATGACCTGGAAGGACTATTCTCATATATTGTAAAAAATTACCCCCCAGACCTTAGTAAGAAGATGAGGAAGTTACTGGTAGTTTTCACCAGGGAACATTGTCACCAGCTATCAGATTTACAAGCAAGCTGCCCACCAAGTTTCACTCCTCTCTTTTTCTTCTCAATTTCCAGCTTATGGATACATTTTTCATGCTGCAGATTATCTTGAGGTAGTTACTTTTATATATTTTAAGATGAAATATGCATTTCCAAGTGATACTGGAGAAGTCAAATCCATCTTTGCAAGGAAAACCATCATTTAAAGCTGTTGTTGATTTCTCATAGGTTGAAGGCAGCCATGGCGAAGGGTCAGGGGGTCTTCTCCGGCAGTCTTGACTCTGAATTAGTCCAGCTGATACCACTGAATCACAAAATGTAGCCCACTCAATAGCCCCAAGCAGCCATATACAGAGTGCTCTCACCAGGTTCATGTGATGGCGAGTTGATGCTGGAAAACAAGGGAAAAAACCAAATAGACTCTTGCAAGAGCCATAAATAATGTGTGATTACACAGCAGCAGTTCTCTACAGGTGAGAAGATTAGTGTGTTTTTAAGAATGCATTTCAGTCTGTTTTTATTTTGTGTGTATGTTCTATTTTTACTTTTGGGGGTTTTTTAGTAATATAAACCACAAAAAGTAAAGCTTGAGAAAACACAAGGGTTATGGCTAATAAAGGTTAAGAAACAATGATAAAGAGGTAAGACTGATTTTTCATTAACATACCAGAACTGAGTGAAACCTTTCCAAAGACTCATCTAGGAACAGTTTTTGATAGTGCCTTAAAAGTCACAAGCATATGGCCATGCACTTGAACAAGTCTGCAAAGATAGAAAATGAGTGGAGTTTATAGTTGTAATCAAAACTCACTGTAGTGTTAACCTGACATATAACAGCAGCCATATTTGTAAGGTGCTTTACAGTTTACATAACACTTTCCCACATTCTCTCATTTGCCATATATTTAATGATAGACATACTGTAATTGTGCTACATGCTAATTAAGCTTAATTAGCAAGTTCTTGTGAATGACTATAATTAGTGGGACTGGTTTGCTGCCAAAGCAGATTTTCAGTTCTTTTTTACTTTATCAGTTACTTAGTATTTATAATCAGGATCAGTTTAAGTCATATTCTGTTTTGCACATTACACACTTATTCTCTTGTATATTAAGAAACAAATTCCTGAGTCCTTATTTCTGGACAGCTGAGCTTCCCTTGCTCCAGGGCTTTTGTTGTAACAAAACTGTCACCCCCTTCCAGTCCCCTCCTAATCCTACATCTCTCCCACTAGCACTCATCTACTCACACTTGAGGGAGACTTGTATATAACATTTAACATTCACTCACCAACAAATATTTATTGAGCACTCTGTGCCAGAGATTGAACAAGGCATTGGAAGCATACACGGTGCTTGGCAGAGCAGTCCTGGTGCCTGCCCTCAAGGAGCTCACAGACTAATGAGGTAGACAAAGCCTACATTAGGGTGGGGGAGTGGGCAGGAAGTGGGCAGACCTATTTTACTCTCCTACTAAGCTACAAACCTAACCTTTATGGTGGGTCTCTGTTTGCCTGTTTTCCCTCATTTGGTTGAGCACCCAGACAAGGGAAACACAGCTGTCATGGATTGTACCCCCTCTATCCTCCAGCACAGGATGTGATAGGAGAGAGTACCTGGGATCAATAGCCTGGCATTGAGGAGGTGAGAGGGAGCTGAGGTTAGGCATGGATTAGTGAGGTGAAGATATTAGGGAAGCAAGTTCCCAGAAAAGAGAGAGTGGGGCTGGCCCAGTGGCGCAGCGGTTAAGTTCGCACGTTCTGCTTCTCGGCAGCCCAGGGTTTGCTGGCTCGGATCTCGGGTGCAGACATGGCACCGCTTGGCAAAAGCCATGCAGTGGTAGGCATCCCACGTATAAAGTAGAGGAAGATGGGCATGGATGTTAGCTCAGGGCCAGTCTTCCTCAAAAAATAAAAAAAATTAAAAAAGAAAAAATAAAATAAAAAAGAAAAGAAAAGAGAGAGCATTTGCAAAGGCCCTGAGGCAGGAAAGAGTTTGTCAGGTTTAACAAGCTCATTACTTTGGTTGGAGGGGTTGATGCAACAGGAGAAATAGCTAGAAGACTGGAAAGATGGAAGGTCCTAGAGCCAAGTTAAAAATTTTATCTTTAGGGCACTGAGAAGCTATGGAAAAGATTTAATGACATTTCCCTGCCTCTTGCATCTCAATCCATTATTTTCCTGGATAGACCCTCTTGTCTTCAGGTACAGAGGTGCTGTGTAATAACCTTTCAGACTGAAACACACAGGCAGCTGAGCAGAAACCATGCTTACGACCATAGAATTGGAAAGAGCATGAGCTTGAGAGGCAGAATGCTTGGGTCTATATTATTTTGAACACGTTTCTCAACCTCTCCACACCACTTTCTTTTCTGTACAGTTGATAATGTAACATTTACACTCCTCAACAGGTTGTTGTAGGGTCAGAAATAACAAGTACAGTGCCTATGACTGGCACTCCATAGGTGGTCACTGTCACTATGTTAGCAATACTCTGTTACTGACACAGATTTCAAACTCCTCTTTGGGAATGGAATCACAGAATCATATATCATCAAATTGTAAAGAAATCTTAAAGGTCTGTCTATATGTGAGGCTTGAGTCCCTTCTGCAACACTGATGATCAGTTGGTTTGTTATCCAGAGTTACTCATAACATCCAGAGAGAGGAAGCTCAGTACTGTCTGAAGCAGCCACTCCATGTTCGGGCTCTGTTAGAAGGTTCTTCCCTTGGACTGAATCAAATATGCTTCCCTGTGACCTCTATCCAGGGGTCTCAGTAGTGCCCCGATGCCTCTTCCCTGTGACATTCCTCCTGGTGTTTGAGGTCATGATCTATACCACCACTCATCTAGAGTTGAAAACCTTGTTTCTTCAGCCTAACAACAACAATAAGAGGTCACTTCATCAAGAAAACACAATCCTAAAGCCTATATGTACCTAACAATTGAGCTTAAAAACATGAAGTAAAAAGTGTTAGTGGGGGGCTGGCCCCATGGCCAAGTGGTTAAGTTCACATGCTCCACTTTGGTGGACCACGGTTTCGCAGGTTTGGATCCTGGGCGTGGACGTGGCACCACTCATCAGGCCATGCTGAGACGGCGTCCCACATAGCACAACCAGAAAGACCTACAACTAGAAAATACAACTACGTACTGGGGGTCTTTGGGGAGAAGAAGAAGAAGAAAAAGACGATTGGCAACAGATATTAACTCAGGTGCCAATCCTTAAAAAAAAATGTGTTAGTAGGAGATTTTAATAATAATATTAGTAACATTTAGTGAGCACCCACACTATACTTGGTGCTGTAGATACACAGATAAGTCAGTCTCAATCAATCCTGTCAATTGAAGAAAGTCACACAAGTGAAGTGTAACACAGCATTACAGATACTGTGACAGAGGTCTGTGCAGGAAAAAGCAGGCGGGGTGGGGAGGGCACCAAGGGAATTGTCATCTTTATGAAAGAAAGGTTTGCCTCATAAGAGATGACACAAACTGCACCCTGACTATTGATAATACCTACACTCAACTGGACTTATCCATTGGTGGTATTTGTTAAAATATCATTTTAGGGACTTTAGTCACACAAAGTATTTAAAACAGCCACTGTCAGCAACTGCAGATGAATTCCTACAAGAAATGTTAATTTTCCCTCTTAGCATTCTTTGCAAAGCCCCTTTTAGAGTCAGAATAATGGAAACCAAGCAAGGAAGAAGAGTGGAATATGTAATTTGCTGTACCTGCAAATGGATGGCAAATATTGGGAAAGGAGGAGCCTCAGCTAGTCTTTCCTAAGCACTGAAATAGAAGAGATGAGGCATACTGTCTTTGTCATGGCCATAAAATACAGGAAGGCCACAGAAGATGGGACAGTAAAGCGTTTGCCCCACTGAATCATTGCAAGTTGTGTGAAAGCAGCGTGCTACTCACACTTTGATGCTTGTTTCTTCATGGTGGGCCCTGTGCTGGATGCTAAGGTAAAGATGACCCATCTAAGAGGCTGAGTTGAGGAGTACAAGGTGATCCAATGGAGAAAGCGCTAGGAAGCCTTGGAAAAGGACTATTTGATGTGCCCTGGAAATTCTGAGGAGAGATCCTTGGGCAGATGAAGCCAGCCTTCCTAAAGGAGGCAGCATGTCCAAGAATAACAACAATGAAGTCCTTGCAGCCTCCTGAAGTGGGACCTTCTCCATGAGAGTCATAAGAGAGGAGAAGGCAGTGAACCTGGAGCTGCCTTCTTCAAGAAGAAACAAATGAGAGAGGCAGGAACACAAGAGTTAAATATCAGTGGAGACTAAAATTAATATTTTTCAAGTTTGTTAAAGAAGCCCTTCAAGAAACAGTTATAAAACTACGGATCTTGAAATATTCCCCAAAATGGGAACAAATGATGAGGGACTGGCCCCAAAGAATATTGGTTAAAGTTCTGTGTTCTCCACTTTGGCAGCCCAAGTTCACAGGTTTGGATCCCAGGCGTGGACCTACACCACTCGTCAGCCATGCCGTGACAGCAATCCACATACAAAACAGAGGAAGATTGGCATGGATGTTATCTCAGGGCTAATCGTCCTCAAGCAAAAAAACGAGGAAGATTGGCAACAGATGTTAGCTTAGGGTGAATCTTCCTCAGGAAAAAAAAAAGTGAGAAAGTGTAGAAAAGTTTGTTTCACAGTGTGCAAGCCTTCCATCTTAAGAAGTCAACAAGGAAGATAAAACAAGTGTTGGTAAGCAAAAAGTATTGATGGAGACAAGTGAGGAAACAGAAGTGTTGAGTGGAAGTTCATAGACACCAGTCCCATCCCCATCACCCTGTTGAGGGGACTGAAGTCCAGAGAGGGTCTTGAACTCCCAAGACACAAATAGGACTCCTTTCACTCAGCAGAGCACAGCACTGCAGCCCAGTGATGTTCAGCACACAGACCCACTCCAGCCCTTTCTGAACTGACTTGACAAAACAGAGGAACTTACTCCAGAAAACTCTTCATTTCACCACAATACTTCATCGGGGGATTGTCTCCTCTGCTGGGGCACTGGCACGAGGCAATCAGCAATGTCTCCTACCCCTCACTTGCTGAGCTACCTTTTAAAAAAAAAGTAGTTCCCTTAAGGCAGTACTATTATTGAGACATTATTCATATACCATAAAATTCACCATTTTAGGATGTACAGTTCATTGATTTTTAGTATGTTCATAAGATTGTGCAACCATCACCACTGATTCCAAATCACTTTCATCTCCCCATAAACAGACCTTGTACCCATTAGCAGATACTCCCAATTGCTCCTCCCCCAAACTCCTGGTAACCACTAATCTACTTTCCGTCTTTATGGATTTCCCTATTCTGCACATTTCATATAAATGGAATCATACAATATGTGGTATTATGTGTCTGGCTTCTTTCACTTAATGTTTTCATGGTTTATCCATGTTGTATTATGCATCAGTACTTCATTCCTTTTTATGATAGGTTGAATAATATTCTGTCATAGATATACCACATTTTGTTTATCCTTTTATCAGTTGATTGACTTTGGGTTGATTCCACCTTTTGGCTATTGTGAATAGCAGTACTATGAACCTTCATGTATTCAAGGTTTTGTGTGGACATATGATTTCATTTCTCTTTGGTATGTACTGAGGAGTGCAATGGCTGGGTCATATGGTAACTCTGGGTCAAAGGTTTAACCTTTGAAGAATTTCCAGATTGCTTTTCAAAGGGCTGTACTATACATTCTCATCAACGAGTTTTGTATGAGGGATCCAATTTTGCCACATCCTCACTGACACTTGTTGTTACTCATCTTTTTTATTACTGCCAGTAAAATGGCAGTATTACAGTAAAATGGCATCTCATCATGGTCCTGATTTTCATTTCCCTAATGAGTAATGTTTCATGCTTGATGGCCGTTTCTCTCTCTTCTTTGGAAAAATGTCTATTCAAATTCTTTGCCCATTTTTTAATTGGGTTGTCTTTTTATTGTTGAGTTGTAAGAGTCCTTTATATATTCTGGTTACTAGACCCTTATCAGATAAATGTTTGCAAATATTTTCTCCTAGTCTGTGGGTTTAAATTTCTTGAAGTGTCCTTTGAAGCACTGCTAAGCTACTTTTAACAAATATTAAAACATCTTAAACTAAATTAGGAATATGTAAATGGCGTCTAAATTATACTTTTAAATTTAATAAGTATTATAATTTTATGAGGAAACCATTGTATGCAGACCACATTTTGAGGCTTCAAACTAAGAGTCTTGAGTTCATTGTGAGATTCATCATAATGATAGCTATCGCTTTTACAGCATTTATGTGCCGAGCACTGTTTGGGCAATTGCATGTATCATCTAATTCTCACAATAATTCTATGAGGTGGAGACTTATCATCATCATACTCAGTGTACAGATGAAAAACGGAGGCAGGGGGAGGTTAAGTAATTTGCCTGAAGCCAAAAAGTAGCAGAGGTGGGCTCCAGATTCCGTTGTCTTAACTGCCAAAGTGGAATTAAATGATTTCAAAGAATGCCTAACTCCTCGCTTTGGGGAAATAATAGTTTTCATGGCGTCGACACTCTGGACATTTTTCCTCGCCGTACCAAGCCAGAAACTAGTACCACCCTTCCAGGCGTCTTCAACGCTCCCTTCCCCTCCCAATGCGGTTTCAGGACCCTCTCTCCTCCCCAACGGTCAGAGGCTTTTAGTGTTTGGAAGTAACTGCGAAGTCCCTTGCGTCCCCCGGGTGGATTGGTTCTAAATTTCTGGCGGCCAATGGGCGCCGAGGAGCAGCGGCTTCAGCCCGGTGAGACTGGAAGCTGAGCCGTGGGCGGAGCCAGCGGAGGGGCGGGAACGGTGCCCCGGCAGCTGTGCCAGCTGTGCCTCCTGTGTGCGGCGCCGGCGGCCCTGAGCGGAGCCATGAGCTGGACCTGCCCGCGTTGCCAGCAGCCCGTGTTCTTCGGTGAGGCCCCGGCTGAGGAGGGGGAGAAGATGGGGCGAGTGTGAACCGCCGGGTTCCGTGAGGACGCAGGAACTGGCGACGGTGTGGTCCCAGACCGTTTTCCACCTGTGGGGCGCTTGGCACTCGAGCGGGATGGAGCTGGCCTCCCAGAGACACTCCCCATCGTCTATAGGAAGCAGGGCGGGAGGGGCTGAGGGGGAAAAGGAGGGCGCCCGCTGCTGCGCGTGGCTCCCCGCAGCCCGGTTCCTCCTGTCCCCAACAGCAGAGAAAGTGAGCTCCCTGGGCAAGAACTGGCACCGCTTCTGCCTGAAATGTGAGCGCTGCCACAGCGTCCTGTCCCCAGGAGGGCACGCAGAGGTGAGGCCTGGCCAGGGCACACAGCCCTGTGTCTGTCACTGTCCCCCAGGCACCAGCCCCCAGTTTCAGCCCTGGCTAAGGTAACCTCAGCAGCCAACTTCCAAGACCACTGAGCCTGAGTTGTGCCAGTGGACCCCATGCCTTTTGGGGGGACAGGGAGGACAGCAGCACTGCTCCCCCACCTGCTCTTGCCCTTTCTCCCTGCCCACACTGGCAATTCCAGCATGCTAGCCCACCCCTCCACCTCTCCCAGCCCAACCAGCACAGGACAGCGGACGGACACACCCAGCAGCCCATCTTGGGGAAAGGCCTGTGGGACACAGGAGAGGCCCTCCTTGGCCCTGGGCAACCCCCTTCCCTTTGCTTGTGCCTAGCACAATGGGAGGCCGTATTGCCACAAGCCATGTTATGGGACTCTCTTCGGACCCAGGGGTAAGTACCAGCCTGGGAGGGACAAAGGGGCAGGAGAACCCTCTCTGTGGCTGGGAGAGGAAGGCTCAAGCCTGACCTCCCCTCTTCTCTCTGCAGGGGTGAACATTGGCGGTGTGGGCTCCTACCTCTACAACTCCCCCACACCCACCCCTGCCAGCACCACTCCTCTCAGCCCCAGCAGCTTCAGCCCCCCGAGGCCCAGGACTGGCCTCCCCCAGGGCAAGAAAAGTAAGTGTGGCTGGGCCCCAGCTACTCCTCCTCCTGACCCTTTCCCAGATGGAACAGCGGGTGGGACCAGGTGGTAGTCTCCCACCCAGTCTTCCGCTTCACATTCATACAATTTTGTTCATGGCAAAGTTTTCTCTCATCCTTGGCTCCTTTTTTTATGTTCCCTCATGTCAGCTGCTGATGGTATTATCACCCCCATTTTACAGGTGTGGAAACTGAGGCCCAGAGAGGGCAAGTGACTTTGTGCTGTCATGCAGCTAGTCAGAGGCAAAGCTAGCCTAGAACTCAGGCCTCTACCAGGCCAGGGCCATGGAAGGAATGACCTACAAGTGAGGGGTCATTGAGATGGGGCCAGTCCCTCACATTCCTCCACTTCCCCCCACTCCCTGTTCCTCCCTCCCATCCCCTGGAGTGGGCAATGACACCATGCTCCCCAACACCTGATACCCCTGCCCCAGCCAGCTCCTATATCAGCTCAGGTTTCCTGAGGATTGAGTTGCTGACGGGGTCGGGCTGGTGGGCAAGGAAGCGGGTGGTCCCTCCTACAGATAGGGCAGGAGGTAGGGTCAGAGGGGACTGAGCTCTGCCCCAGGAAGGCAGACTCAAGGCCACCTGAGTGAGAGGCTTTGGGATGGGGATGAACATGGCTTTTGGAAGAGGACAGTGCCCTATGCAGGCCGATGCCGGTGGGCTCTGCTTAGGCCTGGTCCACACTTCAGCCCTAGCCAGGGCCTCTTCCCCTTAAAGGCCCTCCCCACATGAAGACCTTCACTGGGGAGACCTCACTGTGCCCTGGCTGTGAGGAACCTGTCTATTTTGGTAAGTGACAACAGAAAGCCTGGAGTGGGGGGGGCACAGGATGGGCATCAGGCAGGGAGGTGGTATAAGGCAGGGGGGTCTCCCTGCCTGCCCCCAGAACTACCACCTTTCTCCACCACCAGCCGAGAAGGTGATGTCTTTGGGCAGAAATTGGCACCGACCCTGTCTGAGGTGCCAGCGCTGCCGGAAGACCCTGACTGCTGGGAGTCATGCAGAGGTGAGCTGTGGCAGGCATGGGTGGTTATGTTGGGAGGAGGGAGGCTGGAGATGGGAAGAGAGCAGAGCTGAGACAGTTCTCTTTCTCTCTGTGTCCCAGCATGATGGCGTCCCCTACTGCCACATCCCCTGCTACGGCTACCTGTTTGGCCCCAAAGGTGGGCAGCCCCACCCCAGACACTGGGCCTAAAGTATGGCGTGTGGGTCTGTGGGGATGTGTGGACAACTTCCCCTGTGGTCAGACACAGCCCAGGCCCCTCCCAATTCCCTCCAGTCCTCATCCCAGCACCCCCCAGCCGCCAGGCCCTTGGTGACAGGGTTCTCTCCCCCAGGTGTGAACATTGGTGATGTGGGCTGCTACATCTATGATCCCGTGGAGATAAAATCCAAATGAGATGCTCACAGGAGATGTCCCCCAACTCAGGCCTCCCACCCTCCCCTCCATGGTCCAATGAGAGCTACAGAATTCTCCAGTCCCATGGGGGTGGGGGAAGGTGGGGTTCTGGTGGCCTGGGCCTGGGTTCCATCGTAGAGCAGGGAGTCTAGACTTTCTCGACTCCTCCCTTTCCCATTTCTATCTGGTCAGGGGACATAGCCTACCCCATTTTGAAGGGTGGCCTCCTGGCCTTCCCAATCCCTTTCCCCAGCAAATTCTCTAACTTCAAGGTACTCATAAAACTTGTGTTTATTCTGGCTTCTTCAATAAAATGTTGGCTTCCATGCCTTCAACTCTTCTTTGGGCATGAGGCCTAAACAGTATGTTGGGGGTGGGGAGTGTGGGGGTGGGGAATGCATTATCCTGCAAAGTGCCTGGGAGGTAGGAGGGCCAGCCATGGAACAAAGAGCTCTGTTCTCCTGGTCCCCTGGCCCTGGCCAGCCCCCAGCACCACACAGTAGACAGCATGCCCACCAGCCCTGTTGGTACCAGAAGTCATCAGAGAAGAGTCTCTTCTTTAGCACCATGTCTAGAAGAAGCACCTTATTTAGCATCTCATTTGAGCATAACAACAGATAGATCGTGTGGTGAGGTCTGCTAAGAGGCTTCATTATCCATTTGAGAGATGAACAGACCGAGACCCAGAAAGGGAAAGCCAGATGCCCAAGGTTACACAGCAAATCAGTGGGAAAGCTAGGATCAGAACCCAGGACCAAACTCAGTGGCTTCCCATCCAGGGCTCGTCCCACAGCTCCTCACTGCTGCCCCAACCCAAGGGGCACCTTTATTTACAGAATGCCCCCAGCCATGAGAGGGGTGCCAGAATTCTCCAGCAGCCCACTGCATCCTGGGAAGTCACCCTCTTGCTAGAGGCCAAATAGTCAAGGCTGGATGAGCACAGAGAGGCGGCACTGGTGGCAACTCCAGCTCTGGGCAGGCCTGCCCTTCTGCTCTCCCAGCCCCTGCTGCAGAACTTCGGTGGAGGGCCTGCCCCTGAGAGCACTCAGTCCTGGACCTGCTTCCTGGACATCTCTTCCTCCTGAAGGCTGGACGGCACTGGGGAGGAAGGAGTCATGAGCAATGGTGGGCTTTAGCCCCTGAGCCTACCACCCCAGCCTGCCATATCAGGGCTGGCCTAGAGGTCTCCCCAACTCCTGGTATGCAAACATGTGCACTCCCACAAGTGACTCCCATGCATGCCTGTGCACATCCCTGATGTGGAAGCATACCTGAGTGTGCATACATCCACCTTCTCCTGGACAGTCTTGGGCACCTGTGTACACGTACACACTCACGGGCTCATGTACACTTTTATACATGCAGTTTACATACCTCTGGTCATGCACACTTGCTTACATGGACCAGATACACACACACAGACATTTCTTCCTCTCTGAATCCTACCTAATGTGTCAGGTATCTGAGCACCCATACCCACATGCATGTGCTCATACTGACACAGACACAGTCCTGTGCACACACCTCTTCCTCTCCACGTCCTGGATGGTCTCTGGCAGCTGTGCCTGCCTTGTCTCTGGCAGCAAGAGGGCAGTGCAGGCAGCCAGCAGGGCGATGCCCCCATAAGCAAGCTTGGGCAGTGGCAGCCATACTTCGTCCAGCAAGGCTGCCAGTGGGGCCAGAGAGCCCCCCAGCCGGCCCACCAGTGCAGTCAGCCCCAACCCTGTCTGTCTGTTCAGAGAGAGAGGATGGGGGAGAGGGTTGGTGCTCACAACTACCTGGGGTCCTGCCTCACAGGGTTCCCCTCCTGGGCTGGCCGACTCTGGTACCCCCTTCTCCCCAGATGGCCAAGAAAGCTGGGACTTCTTTCATGGGGTTTCCCATCCACTGCAGGCCAGGGGCCCCCGAGCCAGCACCCACCAGAGGATGGGACCCCCAATCTGATAGAGTACCAGTTAACTACCACTGAAGGAAAAGAAAAGTCACCAGAAAGGGGACAGAGCAGTGTGGAAGGAAGAGGGTCAGCAGCTCATACAGCCCCTAGCGTGTTTTTAGAGGAGGCTCAAGGCTGTCTAACATACGCAGCTGCCTAAAAGTCTCCTCCCCACCTGCCAACAGCTAGCTGAAAGGGTCCCGGGCCTTATTTTCAGAGACGACCCCAAAGGGCAGCTCTGCCTGGGTGGTGGCGAATGGGATGAGATGGGCAGATGTGGCTTTTTGTGACTGTTTTCTTTTACAGGAGGCCCAGAAAGGTTGTCTGACCTCGTTCAGGGTCACTTAGTAAGCAAATATAAAATGCCCCGCCTTCTCCCAGACTTAGGTAAACACAGACAGCTGATTAGCTCTGTATTCCGGGTGCGGCGCAAGGAACGGGTGAGAGGGACTCGGGTGCAGCCTGTGTATGTGGGAGTGTTGGTGAGAGATGTGACTAACAAGCCCTCCCCCAAGGTGGGTTGCCTGAGACCCAGGCTCCCCTCACCTGAGCACAGTAGGGTACAACTCCGACGTGAACAGGTAGGCAGTGGTGAAGGCACCTTCAGAAAAACCTTTCCCCATCACTGCCAGGGCGACGCCCCAGGACCCCACCTCTGGAGAAAAAGGGGTTGAAGCAGTCAGCGGCCCCGGAGGAGAGGGCGGGCTCCCGGGATAGAAGGTGGAGCCTCCGGAGAGGGCAGAACTTAGCTGGCCCCCGAGTAGGGGCTTCCGGGAGAGGGCGGGGCTTTTGGCCAGGAGGCGGAGCCTCGTGGAGTGGGCGGGGCCTCGTGGAGTGGGCGGGGCCTCCGGGGCTCACCCGAGGACACGAGCAGTCCGAGGCCCAAGGCGAGCGCGGAGCCCAGCAGCATCCCGGCCTGCGTGAGGCGGCGTCCCACGTGGCGCACCAACACGTAGACTAGCAGCTTGGCGGGCAGCTCCACGACTCCGAACAGCAACTGCGTGTGGTACACGTTCAGCCCCAGCCCGGACACGTCCAGGCTCAGGCCGTAATAGGAGAAGTTCACTCCAAACCTGAGGGGGATCACGATGCCACTCAGGGGCTCTCCTTCCCACCCCTCCTCGTCCTCTCTTCTCAGGGAGCCTTGGCCTTTTAGACGGACCACCTCCCCCCGCTTCAGAGCCCGCTGCCCACGACCTTCCCTGTCCCCATCGTCCCCTGCGCATGTGCAGCTCGTGCCAGTGGCCAGAACGCCTTTACCTAATCTTCACAGCAACCCTGTGAGAGAGGAACTAGCAGCGTTCCGCTTTACAGAAGGGGCACTGAGGCTCAGTGTTAAGTGCCCTGGCCAACGTCTCACACTAAGGAAGTGGCAGAGCCTGAATTCTAACCCACGCGTCTCTGATGCCTGCTCCATCCGCTGACCTTCCAGAGCCCCATCTCCCCAGAGGCTGATCCTTGGCCCTCCACAGTTACAGTCACTGTCCCTCATCCTCTCACATGCAGCATGGTCCTGGAGTCTGCCCCTCCCTCTGCCCACCCTCACCCGGCCAGGCCCAGGCCAACCCCCTCCTCACCACATCACCATGCAGCACAGTGAGATGTATCGGAGCCGTGGTGTCCGGAACAGGTCTAGGTACGAGGGTCTTCGGACCCCCCGCTCCCCAGCGGCCACTTTGCTCAGGGCCTGGTCAAAGAGGAAGAGAGTTTGTGACATTGGTGTTGCCTGTGAGGCCTTAGCAAAGGCACATTGCTTTCTCTGGGTCTTTATTCCTCCCTTCTGCAGTAGCGGGGGTGGGGATGCACATGGGAGCTTGAGTAGGGTGGGCCCTGAGTCAAAGGTGCACCCCACCAGAGCCAAGTAGGACATCCTGAAGAGTTTGGAACTCTCCACTGGGGGCCGGGAGCTTTTCCTGCACACACAGTGGGCCCAGGAAGGGGACACTTGACACAGGCCACACACACACATGCACACATGCACACATTCACCCTCACCTCCTGGCTCAGGCCGTCCTCACTCAGGGGCCGCCCATTGAGCCTGGCACATCGGACCAGGTACATGTGGGCCTCCGCCACACGGCCTTGGGTCAGAAGCCAGCGTGCAGACTCAGGCACCCACCTGGGGGACAGCAGGAGGTCCTTCAGTCAGAGTCAGCACCCTAAGCCACATCTCCTTCCTGGGCACAGCACAGGCTGTCAACCTCCAGGCTCTTGCTCTTGCAGTCCCCTCAGCCTAGAATGTCTTCTCCTTCCTAAGCCCTCCTCACCTGATGAACTTTCATTCATCTTTTAAGGCCCAATTTAAAAGCCACCTCTTCCCGCACTTCCTTGCCCAGGCCTAGGCTCCCACAGCCTAGGAGTCCCTTCTCTGCTCAGCTGAATTGGTCTCACCTGTAAGACTTCAGTCCCCAGCACCAGTCCCCCACTTCCCCCACAGGTGACAGGAAGGCATAGGATGAGGAGGGACAGACATACAGACATACCCAGAGGGATGATCCAAAGCCAGTTCATTTTGGGGAAGCAGTGAAATGCCCACCCTGCCTGGCCTCCAGTTCTCTGCTTGGACTCCTACCCCGTGGGGCCCTGCCCCTGTCCCCACCCCTCCAGGGTGTAGGCCTCAGTTTGTGCTTGGCTCTGTCTCTCCATCTCTGTCTCTCTGTATTTTGTTCTCTGTTTCTCTACTTCTCGTGTCCAGCGCCATCTTTTTTGTATTGATCTCTGTCTCTCTTTATCTTTCTCTCTCTGTCTCTTGCCTTCTCTTGGTCATTGACTGTTTCTCTTTCTCTTCGTCTCTCAGTCTCTCTGTCTTTAAATCTCAGCCTCTGATTAATTCTGTCTCTGACTTGCTGTATCTCCCACTCCGCAGCTGCCCACGGGCCTCACCAGAGGCTGATGATGCCTAGGGCACAAGGCAGGGTGACAGCCAGCAGAAGCCATCGCCAGTCCCGTATCAGGTACCCGACCAGTGCCAGCAGCATCATGCCCCCTGTCCAGAAGGTGCTGCTCAGGACACCTGCCACAGTGCGGTGTCTGACGTCCAGCCACTCCAACTCTGGGCCCAGGGCAGAGGCCAGAGAGAGGAAGACAGTTAGCAAGGGCCAGATGGGTTTAGCCTCACCCTTGACAACTGCCTCCCTCCATCCTCTAGGCTCCGCCCATCCGCCTGCCTCACCAAGTGGCATCACGATGATAGTGAAGCCAGCCAAGGCTACACCAGTGAGGGTGCGGGTGATGGCAAACATGATGTAGCTGACCGAGGCTGCAGATGCCAGGCCCAGCACCAGGACACTCACATAGGCCACCAGCAGCAGACGGCGCCTCCCAAACCTGCAGAGGGGTCATGCAAGGTCAGCTCCCTGTAGAGGGGAGATCCCAAGACAGGTAGACTAGGCCCATACCCCAGC